TATAATAGTCTCCTAGGCCATAAAATGTCTGTGGACTGAGGAATGATCTTCAAGGCTCTTCAAGGAAACTCATCTCAGTAGAAATATTACATCTAAGATTAAATTTTGTTTAAGATGTGTGCATTACAAGAGTGACAAAGACAATACATCAAATTAAGATAAATCTTAGTTGAATTTTTAACTACTGTATTTGCAATTTATAATATGCAATGTTTACAAGACTGCAATTCATATTAAATTTTGAAAAACTTTAGTAGAAATACTGCCACTGGTTTTACACCATGTAAAATGCATACTTTATCCAAATCAAACATTAAGAAATCTAATATTAAGATGAGCATTATAGGAAATATTATATGTTGTATTGACGGTTGTGTGATGCACAGTACTGAGAAGGACATTATTGGACCTGCAATTACTGCTTTTGCTACTGACAGACTAAATCAAATTTGAATTGTTGAGCTATGTCTATGGTAACAATAGCTGGTGCACCAAAATGGGATACCCATCCAAAAATAAAAGTTTTTGTCATAGTAGTGATTTTCCAAGCATAGCTTAGATGTGGCACAAGGCCAAAAGTAGGAGGCACCTAGTGAGGATTGAACTAACTACTCAGTGGTAATTGTTCTAGAAAGACAAGCTTGCTAACCATTACAGTGCCCAGTTTTTGCCATAGTATTTGCAGATATATCCACCAAAAAGAAAATATGTTAGCAAATACATGTATCTTTTACTGTGGGAGTAAGGCTTTCATATTCATAACAAATCTTATTTACTTCCATCAATTTATATCAGGTCATCCCATAAGTTCTGTCCGAATTTTAACTTTTTGTTAAAATGAACGAAATTTAAAGAGTATTTTATAATGTCTAATGGAGCTGAACATCATTTTTATGTTTAGATGCATTTAAACTGATCAAATTTTATTTCAGAGAACAATAAAATTAAATTTCGTAGCTTACAGAATCATTTGGAAGAAACAGCTTTTGTAACACAGGAAGAGGTTAAAACTGACATTTGTGAGTTCTTTGAATCAAAGCCAAAAGAATTTTACAGCAATGGTATTAGTAAGCTTGTTAATAGATGGAAGGAAGTCATAGATAATCAGGGAAAATACATTGTTGATTGAATCTGTAATTAAACGTAACATTTGGTCACTTGTTTTCTTTATTCAAAATTCGGACAGAACTTATGGGATGACCTGATATTTTCAACATGGACTTAATATTAAATTCAGTGTTTCTATTTTGATTTAAAAAAAAATTCTCTTTTTTTCTTTTGCTTCATATTGCAATCATATTTTTTAACATTTTCAACCCTTTCAATTCTCCAATTCTATACCTTTAAACTTAATTTTGCACTAACAGTGTCACATACTTCCAGTGGTGCTTACCACAATTAGAGCCTATTCCAGTTGGACAACTTCAGTATCTCTGGAACAGGAAGTATCAGATGCCTGTTCTACTGTAGTCAGTAGACAGGCATGTTGGCCTGTTAACCACAAAAAACTTCACCCCTTCTTCAATCTCTCGGACAATCACTTGTTTCAACTTCTCAAACAGATGGTTGAGCATGTTGTCTCAGTAAAACTTCCAGTTTTTCTAAATTGTGGCAATTGTCCAGAGAAGCTGTATTAGTTGGCCTGTAGATGTACATTTGTGATTGGCTGGGACCTTTCAGAATGGAGTTGTTCTATGTTTTTCACTGTAGCTGTATGTTGGTTTTGGAATTAAGATGTTAACACTACATACTGATATTTTATATAATTTTTATTTGACACTGTGAAAAATGTAATGCCTTGTATTTCAACATAAGCTAAGGTGACTCTGATACTGTTTACTCCTATTTCAAGTTGGTCCAACTCTAAACTATTTTTCACTATTAATAATCCAAATGCCCTTTGTTGTGTTCTACCGCTGCATGTTTATGCTATTGCTGCTGCTGCTTTTAACTCTGTTGCTGAAAACAATAGACATTTAGAAACAATAAGGCAAACAAAATCTGATTTGGAAAATGCAATTAGAACTGCTCCAGAATTCTTCTCAGAACAATTAAAGCCATGTTAAAATTGGTAAAAAAAAACTGTTTGTAATCTGGAATCATTGTTAAAATTATTTCAAAACATTTCACAAATCTTTTGGGGTTGAATGAAAAATATTTCAAATGAAATGTTCTAGGAACCACTTCAACTGACAGGAATTATATTTTACACGCATTATAAAATAATATTTTGTCAGAAGAAGGCTAAAATGAAAGCTGTGACCAATAAAACTTTTGAAACCTTGGGATTTTCACTAATTACATACAGAAAGGAATTGGAAACAATTTTTAAATAAAATAAACTCTCTCTCTATCTCCCTTTCTATATGTCTACTCTTTCTCTATTTCTCTCCTTTCCTCTCTCTTAGTAATGACAATGTTTCTCCTTTCTTTGATGATAAAGAAATGGAAAAAAAAGTTGAAAACATTTATATATTAATGACAAATGGTTTTGTTTTACAATCTGAAAATTATGACAAGGTAGAGAAAAACAGTTAGTTTCATTTCCTGAAAGGTGTTCATTCAATTCCTGAGGTCATGCAGTGTAGGTTCAGTGGACAAAGCAGAGAAACAACATGAAGGAATCTGACAAAATCCAATGACCCTAAATGAGAGATAGATGATGAGAGCAATTGACCTGCCCTATGCTGCCCATTGACCTTACAAAATAAAGGGCTCTATTCAAAATATACCAAAAAGTTGCCAAATATGACAGATGCTTAGGGAATCCCTGCAAATACAGTGGTTGAATGGTTGTGATAAAAACAATGAAGATGAGGATTCATGTCGGAATGAGTTTTTATATATTTTTTTAAATTCACCAACATTTTGATTTTCTATTTATTTTGTGTTGATTAAAGTTTTATAATTTTATTTACCTTGATGAAATTTGTAGATAAAATCCTAATAAAATAATAAAACCACTTAAAATGTTCTTGTCTGAATTTTGTAAGATAAACTATTTATTCGAATGTTGAGTATATGGAATATCTTACATATTGATTGTGTTATTGACTTATTTGATTCATTTAAACTGTTATCCTCTTTGATTGTTAATGTTATTATAGACACATTTTTGGTCAAGTACCCTCTGGTCATCATCAGATGTTATTATTTTGCTTGATATAGAGTATGTGTTGATTATGGTGTTATTGACTTAGTTTACTGTTATTCTCATCTTTGATTGTTAATGTTATTATAGACACAACCAAAATAATGTACACTTGATGATGGCCAAAGTGTATCCTGTAACCTTGGGAAGGTTACTAAATATAATAATCATGCAAAAGTTGGTAATGAACGATAATTCTTAGGACAAGAACAACACATATAAGATTCACCAGTGGTGTGTCGAAAAAGTAGTCAATTGCTAGAAGTGAGTCAAGTAAATTCCACAATGAATCTTGAACTGCAGACCAACATACAGTATTTACTACTGTATTTATGTAAATGGGGACATACCCAATATTGTCCCTAGGTATGTTACTGTAACATTAGCAATCAAGGATGAGAATAACAGTTCAAATGAGTCAAATAATAACAAAATAATCAACATATAAATCAAAACAAAGATGAGAATATGATAACCTGTGTATTAGAATTAGAATAGTGTATATACTTCTTGTATGGTGTAATCCCTGATTTTTTTTTGTATGAATTTTAACCCCTCCATAAAAAATTTCTCTGCATATAGTACAACCTGTCACTGAAATAACATTTTTTTTTTTTTTACAGTGGCAACTTAAAATTATAATAAAAAATAATAAAGCTAAGAATATTGGTCTGAGTAATGCCTGAAATAGACAAATGTTTCATCTCATAATTTTGTACTATGTAAAAGGCTGAAGGATTGATTAATTGTAGTAGCCAGGATGAGAATATTAGTTCAAATTACCTGACTTCTGTTATCCTCTACCTTTACAAGAGTCAGATCAGGCTGCAAATAGTTATTTTTATTCGGTTGAGCTTGGATGTTCATGAGTCTATTACACCAAGATATATGGAAATGTATATGTTGTCACAATGAAAAAAAACAACTTAAATTCTTTCCACATAACTTTATTTTTTAAAGATTAACTCTTTATAGGTATAAAATTTTGTTTGATCAAGAGTTCTAATCACGAATAATCTAAATATATTAGTTTATAATTTTCATACATTATAAACTTGTTTTTCAAATTAATGCCCACCATTATTATTTTCATCTGGGATTTAAATGGGATTGGGTTATTATGTTGGTTATATAACTATTTTAACCACACGAGCCTAAACCAGTAAAATCTTAGAAAAGCATAAAAATATCAGACAAATATTGTGTTCTCATTTTACCAGAAGGTTACTTTCAGAGTCTGTCCACCTGAAGAAGTCAGGAGCGTACAACGGCCGAAATGTTGTGATAAATATGGTGACAAAGATGAGGACAATAGTCCGAATAATGTAAATAAGGTTACTTTCAGATTGTACAATTTCAATTGAATTATTTTCTTTTAAAATGGACTAAGTATATTGCTTATATTCATGCAGCTGATGACTGCTTGTGAATCCAAATTCCCACTGAATCTATTAGCACATCCTCATTTGCAGCATTAAAAGAAGCCCAATGTTTCATAGGGAATGAGAGAAACTAACTATATTGCTTATATTTCAATAAATCACTAAAATATGTACTTTCTACTTGTATCAATAGTCAATATTAAAACCAACAATTTCAAATGCAGATTTTCTGATTTTTGTACAAGACTGCCTTCCTATTTCACTATTGATCTTGTGAGGAAGCTAATATAGATTATTAAAAAATTAAATTGTATTTTTTTTTGTAGTTTTATAGCTGAATGAAAGCTAGTATTGATTGAATTCATTTTCTCTTTTAAATTTTCTATTTTTGTAGAGTCTGAGAAAATTTCTATGCCTGGGCTTAAATGAAGAACTTTATTATTAATCTGTGACTCTTTCTAACTTCTCTATTTAGAATTCAACATATCAATAAATCTATAAGGGTATTTGATGGTGTCATATTGAGATACAGCATCCAGCCTGCCCATCTGAAATAAAAAAGACAAAATATTCATTATTAAACAGTTTTCATATATTTATTAGATTATATTTGCCTCATTGTTGTGGATTCCGAGATGAAATTCGGTTTCCAATGAATGACAAATGCAAGAATTGAAGATAAGAAATTAAATGTATTTACACAATAATACAAAGGGTAATACTGTTAGTAAATCCAGGAACGCAGTTAGTAGCAATAATATATAGATATATACAGTCTCGAAGTAAGACTTCCTTAGAGTCGGGCGTGCTTGTAACTGTGACTTCTACAAGTGGTCACCTCACACTATTACTCTACCTCCAACTCACTCACTCTCTCTCTCTCTCTTGACTGACTCTGGGTATTTAACGGCAGCAGTTCAAGTAACACTTTGGTTGAGTCCACTTATATGAAAAAGGGGAGGACCACATGACACTCATTAACATCTATGCATTCTGAATCAGATGAACAAAACAGAAAACTTATAGAGAAAGGTAAACAAATACAGGGGCTAGCAAAAGTAGGTATACAGTAAGTATTAAACCAGTATTATAAAAGTGGTTCTAGAGGCATGGTGGAGTATTGGATTGCCTAGAGTAGCAACCTGTCTAGGAGAAGGAAAACTGAATTCAAAACTGCATGTGGCCCTAGCAAAGCATTTACTATACAACTAAGGAAAGGATGAACAAAATAGAAAACTTATAGAGAAAGGTAGAAAAATACAGGGGCGCTGCAAAAGTAGGTATACAGTAAGTATTATACCATTATTGTTAATATTATAATAGTGCTTTTAGAGGTATGGTGAAGTAATAGATTGAAGCTCAGATTGAGGAATCGGAGAGCTGAGCTTGAATTCCAGTTGAATTCATTGCATTCACTTACATGCTAATAACTTTGGGAAAGTTATGACTCTAACTCTTCTCCCCCCCCAGCTATGGATAAATAGTAGGACAGACTGGGTTTTATAGCCTTGGGTAGTAGTCAGTCTAGTAAAAACTTCAGAATTCAAAACTGAATGTCGGCGTATTATGTAGCTAAGGAAAAGATTGTTCACATTGACTCAATTATCCTGACTACAGTTGATTATTTCTAAATTTAATAATAGAACTCATTTAATTCATTAAAATCATTTTTAATAATTTTATTTTCATAATTTTTATTATGATATATTTATTATAATTTTTATTTTTTAATAAATAATAATAATAAATGTTTTGCATGTAAAGTCGTAATTTAATGATGGCTGATAATTTAACAGATAAGGAACACAAATGGATTTTGAAACAGCACTGGAAGATAGGGAATAGTGAAATACAATACATTTTGTGCCCAGGTTTTGTCTTTCATTATTGTATGTATCTGTACCTGTGAGCAATATATATATATATATATATATATATATATATATATATATCTGTGAGCAATATATATATATATATATATATATATATATATATATATATATATATATATATATATATTCTAACAAGTTTGATTTAATGATCTGATGATGTTTACATTTTAATTGGATTTTTCCATTTTTCGAATAAGGTGTTGTGTATTGTACTTGAAACTGTGAATAAACTGCCTGAAGTTCATATTGAGTTCTTATGTTGTTCAAGTACTTTTGACTGTGTACATCCTGATGTTCTTTGGAACACCAAAGGAATTCTAAATATCAAATAAACATGTCATTTGATCTAAAAAATGACCAATATGGTCAAAATTACTTGAACAAAATAATAACACGATATGAAATTTGAAAAATCGAATAAAAAAAAAAAAAAAAATGACACAGACAGGCCTTTTCTTTTTAATCAAACTTGTTTGGATGAATGCTTGCTACCTATATGTTCCTTATATATATATATATATATATATATGGTTTCATTGGGAAGCAATTTTTTGTTCATACAAATTTAGTTAAAAATAATGAAAGTTCTTTGTTAAGGATTTCAATCTTTCATGTATTTACTTTCGTTCTTTGCTGTATTTTTGAAGACATTTTAGATGTTATAGATACCTCCTTTTTGAATAGCCTGACCACTTCAAATGTAGACATTTTGAGATGACCCAATATACTAAAATCTTTGAAACAGGAAAACTTAAACATTAATGTCAGCACTTTTTACATATTTAAAAAAAATGTACTTAAAATTTAAAAAGAAAAGCAAATTAATTTTTACCATTTAGTAATTTATAAGCATTCTTTCTTAATTTTTTTTTTCATAAATGTTAGAAAAGATACTAAACTTACCTCTTCACTAGAGAGTTCCCATCCATAGGCAGCACCAATATTCTCTTTCAGCTGATCAATACGTTTGGCACCAATAATTACTGAAGTCACAATGTCTTTTTGTAATAACCATCTCAGTGTGACTTGGGTAACAGTTTTATCTGATTAATATAAAGATAATGTTGAGCAATTAAGAAAGCCGATACAGATGAAATATACAAATTGATATAAGCAGAGTTCCTTATTTAAATATAGATTTAAGGATGTCATCTCTGTCTATATCTCTGAGATGAGGTATTATGATTATTTACATTATTCAGAATGTTACCCTCATCTCCATTACCATATTGGCATTGGTTAGATCCAGTAACTAGACCCAAAGAATTGTGAGTTCAATTCCAGCCTATAGCAGTGGTGAACCAAAAAACTTGGAGAGTTGAGTTAAAAGGAAATAACTGAGACATACAGAAGAGGCATGGACTGTGGAACTAGAACAGACTACCCCGGTGGACAAAATAAGGCTTTGGTTTCAAATTCCAATCAGCTGAAGAAGGCTAGAGTGTACAACAGCTGAAACGTTGTGAATATGGCAATGAAAATGAGGATAACAGTCCAAATAATGTAAATAAAGTTGTTGTCATTCAAAAGATGTAAATTTCAAGGTGGAATAAGTTATACTTTCATCAAACATAATGATATTTGTTGATAGTATTTTGAAGAATTGAATAAATCCATGACACAAATCAGTTGTGTGACTTTTGTAAACAGATGTTGGTATGCAGGGTATCCAAAAAGCTACTAAATAGCTTAAAAATTGAGATCTAGCCATACCAAAAATAGAGATTACAAGCAGTAGAGCCTGGCATTGCTCAGGGATGTAACAGTAAGAGATAGATCAAGTATCAACCATCATAAAGACAAAGATTATTGTTTAAGGTTGATGGACACGCATGTCATGATTAGTTTTTTTTTTGTTTTTTTTTTACGAATTGGTCAAACCCAAACTCAATCATTATGAGTCTACCGATTGAATAGAATTTTATTATAAACAATTGTCTTGTAAATGGAATTTTTAAAGCATTCTGAATGTAAAAATAAAGAAAAAAGTGTGCAAGACAATAAGAAACATTACCTGCCAAAAAAAGTCATGTTTTGCTGAAATCGGTTGAAAGATGTAGGAAATCCGATCCAATATATAAAGGAACACACACACACACACACACACACACAAACAACCTGGGTTTTATAATAAGTATGATTTTATTCTTACATATTCTTTTTTATATCTAATTCAAATTTATTTTTGTTTTATATGATGTTAAAATCTGAATTTTAGTTGCTTATGCACCCATTTTTCAATAAACTTTTGTGTGTGGCTCCATTTACTTGACAGGCCTGCTATCAATATTCTCTGTTTTCTATTTTAATTTAATTCATAAATGGATACTTTGCTCCCGTTTCCTTCTACACAGAATCTTTTAAGCTTGATTTGTTTCATACTGAATAATCATTTAGATTATTATGTTTTGGCCAATATATTTCACATTCTCAGTATGTTTTGAAGGTTTGAAATGAAGTATTGTCAGGATAATATTTCAGATAATTGTCCTCATCTTTATTATTTTCACCAGACATCTTGTTCTGTTGAAGTTCTGAAGTGATATATTGTCATTAGTCCAGATATTATTTGCTCAAAATTATCTTCATTTTTGTTGCTTTATAAACATGATTTATGTTGGCATATAAAAATAAAAAAAATGATAAACAAGAAGATATTAATTTTAATGTTTCATGGGGCAATGAATAAATATATTCTAAAATAAATTTATTTTATTTTGGGGACTTGGCTTGAAGACACCATAACCAATTCAAGGACAGAACCCTCATTTTCAGGAAGGTCTCTAATTTAGTGTCATGTTGTCACTTCTTCCTTCCAATTTGAGGCTGTTAACTTTAACAGATGAAAAGTAAATCAGCCATGAATGTTGTGATAAAAAATTGAATGCAATTAGTCAGAAATTAATAATGAAAAATACTTCATTTTAGAATATTAAAACAATTGAAATCTATTTATCTAAGTTTTATATATATATATATATATATATATATATATATATATATATATATATATATATATTAATTTTTTTTATAAAAAAATTTTATAACATAAATATGTTATAAAATCACTACAATACTTGGATATATATATATATATATATATATATGAATGAAGAAATATAGTCTTAAGATGTGCTATATTTATGGGATAAAGTGCTCAATATCAGAGATAGAGCGTGTGTAAATATAAAAGTAAACATAGAAGTCAACACTTAGAGGTGTCAGTCTGTTTCATGCTAGATGCAATAGTCAGGCCTCTAGCATGAAACAGACTGTCACTTCTAAGTGTTGACTTCTATGTTCACTTTATATATATATATATATATATATATATATATATATATATATATAGTTGTTGATCCTCGCAGAATTTGCCACTGTCAGACTTTTCTAATATCTACTTAGGTATCAGCTGTTAAATAAAGGCTAGCAAGTCTTCCTTAGAAGCAGTTGTTAATGCATTTGTGGAAGGTTGAGGGAGTGAAAATTTGACCTTTGTAAAAAATATTCAGATCATCCACAAAGAAAAAGCAAAGGGAAAGAAGGTAAAGTCTAAATCAAAAAATTTTATATTCTAGAAATTGGTGGAGAATTTGACAAAAATTGTTTCTTTTTTTTCTTATGAAGTCAGTTCTTGTATGGTAGGAAATAGAATAGCCAGAGAAAGATTTCTTAATGACTCCTCTTACTACTTTGATTCAAACTGTTACAGCCATTATTACTAGAATTATCTAATGTACTGACAACTTTAGATGCTGTCCTTGTATTTATATCTGGCACATGGATGTAGTAGTAGACACAAAATCTTTCATTGCACCAGAGAGAGGGATCGTGCTCGCACTGAGGCCAGTGCAACTGATGATTGTGGGGGCTTGAGGAATTTTTGTTCCTAGATTTGATGTACATGCTCGAGCTCCCCCACATTAAATCAACTTTGTGTGGCATTGAGTAAATACCAAATTACTATAAAGTAGAGCTGGAGCTTTTTAATCTCAGAATTTGTAGTAGAATTGTGCTCCAATTTCACATTTATTCATATAGAGTCCATAATATAAGTTTTACTTAATGTGCTATTATGTTGCTCAACTCTTCAAATGTTGAATGTATAACGAATTCTAATTTCTATTTTCTCATCTTTACACTATATTAATTTTATCTTATAAATTTTCCCTTGTTTTGTCACCTATGAAATTAAAATAATTGTTTGTATGGAAAATAAGGGTCTATGTACATCAAATTGTCTTTAAATTAAGTGGCAGCAGAAGAATTATTGTTGGACTTTTAAAAGGCAAGCTTAAACATTAATTCAATACTTAAATGCAGCAATCAATTTTGAGTTCTTCTGTAGTTTATTGATGCCTATCACATCTACTTCTCCCTTGCTGATGATGGCCAAACCAAGAGTCCTCCACAGGAGCTAGCTTAATAGGGTGGCTAGCTGCAATTTTGGATACAAAAGGAAAATAAAAGTTACTCCCCTTGAATCATGAAAGCAACAATAATGGCTAGTATAATATATTGATATATATTTTTAACAATAATCTGGCAATCCTGAATCTAAGCTCAACGAAAATCATTACCTGCACCTAACTTTTCTAGGACCTTTGAATGAGCTATGAATCATAGAAATTGTACCAGTGGTAGTGGAGGATTTGCTTGGACACACGCATAAACACACATACATACTCTACTTTATATATAAGATTTGCAATAAAAAATGTTTTTATTTTGTCTGAAATTGATTCATCGAATATGTTCTAATAATGTGTCCACTATAATTTGAATCTGTTTGTTCTTATTTTAATTTATATAAATTTTGAAGTATTTTCTTCACAAATACTAGAGATTCATTTCTTACATGATGCTTCACTACCGTGTTCTTATTCTAGAGTAGGTTAAGATTAATACAGATCGACTTACCATGGGCCTTTGCAATCAAATCAAGTTCTTCCATAAGTTTCCAATATTTTTCATTTTTGTCATATGCTTCCCAAGTATCCCCTATTTCTCCAAATGGTTTTGCATCTTGGAGATATCTTATACGTGTGTTTTGGGCTGGAGCCATTCCTGTTTTGAATTTTCCTGTCAGCAAACCTCTGCAAAGATTTACATAAAAAGGAAAACAGATTTTAGATTTAAAAGGAAGAATGAACTGAAAGTCATTTAAACCTAACACAAAACAAACTCCTCATAGCAGCAGAATCATCCCCAGGTACAAATTACTTAAAGAAACTGTCAAAATTTTTGACATTTTGAGAGTATAAGTCTGGTCACAATTATTTAAACACTTTTAACTTACTTATAAATTATTAAATTAATTATTTATTTTTTATTAATTATTCACAAAATCTAATAAATATCACACTTCTTCTTTCTTACATTCCATATATATATATATATATATATATATATATATATATATATATATATATATATATGTATGGGCACATTGAATGCTGCTGCTAATAAAACATTGGTCAATCTATAATAACAGAGCTAAAATTTATATTAATAATAAATATTTAGTTGGATTGATGTGAGTTTGTGACCCTGGGTTTCATGTTTTGTGATTATCAGACAAATATAATAATATATTGCACATATATATATATATATATATATATATATATATATATTTTATATACACACACTTTTCACATATATTAATAATAAATATGATTTTTTTCTCCACACGGGTAGTACAACTCTGAGTTTCATATATAATGAAATCCTCAGGTGCTGATTGAAAACTGACTGTCAGTTTTTCAATCAGCATCTGATGATTGCATCAAGGTTGAAAAAATTTATAAATTTGTAATAATATACAATGAAACAGCAAGCTGGCCATTTGCTGTTTTAAGAGAAATGATTATATAATTAAAAGAGTACTTAAAGTACTTTTGAAAAAATAGGTAAAAATAGAGCAATTCAAACTTTTCCAAAAAATGTAGTTAATAAAACATCCAAACCTTTCCACTATCACAGTTTCACCTATAGATCATAAGGCTGGAAAAGTCAGAATTTTTTTTTTCTGAATAATGATCCACATGATCAAATCATCGTAATCGAAAGTTTGGATCTTTTATCAATTATATTTTGGAAAAAGGTTAGGCACTATTAATTTTTGCTTGATTGTTGATGCACTCCATCATTGAAACAGTCTAAAGCATGTTGGATCATTAGACTGTTTCTCCTGCCAAGGAGGATGCAAGTCCGGATCCAGCTGAGATGTGCATATTTTTTAAAAATATTTATTATTTTTTCTCTTATAAGATTTCTTAAATATTCTGGCTGGTAGACAAAAATATACTGTTTAATAAATAAACAGAGCATCAACTGAAAAAGGGGTATCCACTAAAAATAACATTTATATAATGAACTCATCCCGTAAGATCAAACTGTATGTGCTATCACCTCACTTGTTTGTCTTTGAACACTGGTATCACTTTTTAGTATATAAAGTATCATTGTTTGAAAGATTACCTTCAGAATCTGTTATTTTTTCTCGTAAATACTTTTATTTACAAATGTTTCAACATGATTCCAGTTTGTCAATAGATATTCAATTACGTATATTATCATTGTGCAGTGGGTGTAACGGTTAGTGGTTCAGAACAAGAAATTAGTGAACTGAGTTTAAATCCCAGCTGATATCATTACACTTTCACAGAAATACCTTTGGAAAAAGTATGTCCATCACTTCTCTACCCACTATGTGTTAAATAGCAGGACAGAAATGTCTCTCTAGTCATGGTTGGTAACTCACGCAACCCAGTTTTGAATTCAGAGTAAATTTTCACAAATTAAAAGTCATTTTTTTAAATAAAAAATAGTAGTAAACTTTTTTTTAAATCATTAATTTTTTCTTCTATTGAATATCATTACTTTTCTTGATATTCTCAATTATCTGGTGTAATTAATTGTATATAACTTACGATTTTAGGGCACCCCATGGTAGTACACCAATATTTTCTTTTTCGCAAACCTCAAAAGCCTCCAACTCTGATTCTCTGCATAGCAGATTATATTGTTGCTGAAAATATATAAAAGAGAAAGAACATCCTTTTTTTGTCTAGAGTTTTATATATTAATCTGCCATTCAAATGAAGAATTTCAACAGTTTGTGAACAACTTTGCTATAGTCTACTATCATTTTGGCATTACAGAAAACTAAGAACTCTGCACAACCAGCTCCAAATACCAACTTACCAGATTTTGATATTACCATTTTTGATACAGCTTTTGAACGAGTAGAGCATTTTTCATATTTAGGCAGCCTTTTTATAAAACAAATGCTCTACAGAAAAGGATATGGAACACAGAATTGGAGCTTCAAACAGGACATTTAGAAAACTAATCAAATGCATCTACAATAACAAAGATTTGAACTTAACAAAAATTGTGGTCTATAATGCTGTTGTTATTACAACTTTGCTATATGGCTGTGAAACCTAGACTCTATATTTTTGAAACATCCAAAAATTAGAACACGTTCATCAGCAAAAGTTTTGTTTAATCTTGACCCTCAAATGGAAATACTATGTATCCAACAACAAAGGCCTTCAAAGAGCCAATAGTCAAATCACTGGAATCACTGATAATTAAGCATGCTGGTCAGGACATGTAGCAAGAATGGAAGAATCAAGGTTTCTACATCAACTCTTATTCAATGAGCTCACTTAAGGGAAAAGATCACAGAGTTGTGCTCTTCAAAGATACAAGGACCAATACAAAACAACACTGAAAGCCACTTGAGCCTAAATCCTTTGAAACACAACCCTGAGACTGTATCAAGTGTTATGTACTGGTTAACATCTGAAAAATTTCAGCGCAAATTTATATTATGTTCTTTTAAAAATAAAAATAAAACTTAATTTAAGAAAATAAGGAAAAAATGGAATTTTTAGAAATATTAGAAATTACTATCATATGGGCGAAATTGTGATCCAGTCACCAAACAACAAATATTATTCTGTGAAAAGCTTTTAAAGTTGACCCCTCAGTGAGAAAGGTCAACACGGCTTGAGCACATTAGGCTTTCATGGGTGAATGTGATTGACCAGTGCTAGTTATAATTAGGTCAGGAATCAGATCCGCTAAATAAATAAGTAAATAAATATTTGACAAAGGACTTCTGATTCAAGATGGTTTGGGAGAAATCTGGTCCTTTCTATGTGATTCTAGAAGCATGTCAGGATGGAAATGGAAGTGTTCCACCACACAAAAGGTGAAATATAAAAGAAAGTTTTTTGGTATGAATTGGGGGATGGCAGTGTTTGCTGGTGAGTTTTGGAGAGGTAGTTAAACTGAGAGGGGGAAGTTTGTAAGGGAATTGTACAAACTGACCTATGGGTCGGTCAGTTTTAGATGGAATTAAGATATCACTTCCATACAGAGCAGTTTAATAAACTACTGCTAGGACTGCCATTAGTTGTCTTTCACTCTCTCTCACTTGGCAATTCACACAAGCAGAAAATAAACCAGGTAGAAATCAACAAATTTATGTCTGCGTGTTTTTTTAATAAGATGCAGCAACAGAATTTAGTGCTGTCATAAGCGACAAAAGCACACGTTTTAGACCAATGAGTGTCACTGTTACACCAACAAACATTTTGTCAGAAATTATAATCATGATTAACCTCTTCCTGCCAAATATTTTGGGAAAAGTGTTGTTGAAGACATGAATAGACCAATAGTTCAATTGTTCAAAATGATTTGTCGCAAGTGTGTTTGCAAAGTTTTGATGTGTTTTTGTTACAATTGAGGAAATCAAGTGGTATGGTGCACAAAATTGTGTATATGTGAAACACATGCCAATGAAACATGTAGCGATTTTCCAAGCGTAGCTTAGATGTAGCACAAGGCCGAAAGTATGGGGCACCCAGTGAGGATCAAACTCACTACTCATTCGTAATTGTGCTAGCGAGGCAAGCTTGCTAACCATTACACTGCCTTGGGGTTGCCCATGTTAATGAAACATGTATGTGACTACTGACTGATTGCGTGTGACAGCAGTAATGTTAAAACACAGTGAACAAAAATGAGGGAATATAGGACTTACTTTTGGTGTGGATTTGTATGTAAAAAGATCATCACTGACTGACGCATTGTCATGATAATATGTGTCTAAGCTGTTGTGGAATGTTCTGGTTCACTGAAAGTCTTTCACCGAGTGTCCTTCACTGACTGTTTTTCACTGTTAGTGGCAAGCCGTTTTTATGACATTTGATTTGTGAACCAGCACCAGCTCACTATCTGCATGTTTTGCATGGGAATGTACTTGGTAACCTGAGCCCTAACCCATTTCCATGTCATTTGGAGTTCAACTGCACAGACATCATAGAAAGCACATCATGTCACTTGTCCTATCTAATCAGGTTCAAGAAATCACTTATTTAATTTGAAGCTGTACAGAATTGTATAATGCTTTTCATATCTACTGAATTTAGTAAAGTTTATTTGTAGACATATTTTACTTGTTTGTGCTTCACGTATTGGCCATAAAATATAGGTTGTTGATATCCTATATAGCTCTACCAGATGAGGTTGAAAACTGGACTTGTTTCAAGTTCAGAAGGGCATAAAAAGAATCAGGATTGGCATATAAACATGTCTGTAGATGGTTCTGGAATATTATGTTTTGGATGTGTTTATTTTTCCATGTCTGAAAAAGACACTTTTGATAAAAACATATATAGATGTCTACATCAGGAAAGGGGTTAAATAAATTAGTTGAAATTTGTGAAAAGAATTTGATTCAATTGTGGCACTAAATCTGAAAATGAAACTTCTCTTGGCTCCCATTAGCATGGTTGATACTAACCTCCATCAGAGTGACTCATTATACCATCTTGGGCTAAAATTCTTGACTGACATGGAGTGGAAAGATGATATTGAATCCATTGCTAGGTCTGTTGCTAAGAAATTTGGTTCACTGTGCAATGCTAGGCAATTTTTCTGTCCTGAATCTAACTTATAGATTTATAAGTCTGTCATTCGTCCATGCTTTGAATATTGTGGCCACACATAATTTGGTGCTCCTGCTGTATATTTAGAGATTCTTGATAAAATCCAAAGAAGAATCAGCAATATTATTGGTCTTGAACTGGTATCTTGGCTTCAATCACTTTCTCACCACCATAATCTAGCTTCCTTGTGCTTTTTCTATAAATACTTTCATAGTAATTGTTTGAATGAAATGTTTGCTCTGGTACCTAGACTTTATTAATTTAGGTGCAGTACTAGATATGTGGCAAAGTCTCATCAATTTACAATTGAATTGGCTAGATGTAGCCATAAGTTCTATGTTAACAGTTTCTTTTCTCGCACTTCTCACTTATGGAACTCTCTTTTGGCTCCATGTTTGATCTTCAAAAATTTAAATGCAATGCCAATCATTAACTACTGTCTTCTTAGTTACTCATCTGTTGTTCCAGCTGTTTAATAATGTTTCCCTTTTACTTATTCTTTCACACTCAGTCACCCCTTGTATCTTAGTTGCTTTACTGCCTTGCATGGGGTGATATGATTTAAAAAAAGGATAAGGTTGGTTTTGTCTTTACCTGAAGGCTGAGCACAGGACTAAGCCCCATGTACTTGCAAGTATCTACAATTTTCTGTAGCATCCATCCTTTCATGTTGCTGACACCAAAGTACAGGATTTTGCCAGAGCGGACGAGGTCGTTGAATGCCATCAAGGTCTCTTCTATGGGAACAGTGGAATCCCAACAATGCATCTGACCAAAAAAGAAAAAAAAAACTAGGAAAATGGTAATTCTTGGTTCTGATGAATAGTTTTCAATGCAAAATATATGGAGCTGCACTATACACAGGTTTACCCTTTGTTTTTTATACAAATATTTTCATAGCAATTGTTCTGATTAGCTTTCCTCCTCAGTGCTTCAACTACATGAATTTAAGCATGTTATTAAATTGGCAACTAGGTTTCACTGTTTTACTGTTGAACTAGCTAGATTTTATTTTAATAATTTCTTTTCCTATGGAAGTATAAAAATACATTTTTACAGTAAAAATACCAGTAATATATATTTATATAAAAAATATCAATAATACCTATTTATAGTAAAATTATCAGCAATACATTTTATAGTAAAACTAGCAGCATGGCCCGGCGTTGCCTGTGCTGGATTCAAAAATCGTACAACTCATACAGCAATCGCTATCACTTGACTTAAAATATTTTTGCCTTTCCTTGCCTTTAAAGGAATGCCCTTTGCTGTGCTGATGTTGCTACATGCCTTACTTCTTGCCTATCTCATACTGCAAATTTTTTCTAAGCTTTATACTAAACATTAAATCTGTTACGAAAAAAGAACTAAACAAAATGAACACAAAATGATCAGCTTTAAAAAAGGACTCGTAACTGGAAATCCGAATGAAAAAAAAATGTTAAGAACAAATACTTTTTCACACCCAACCCAGTTCTGTGGAATCAGAATCAACGTTGAGTTTAAGCAAGCGAATGAGCCAATTGGAGTAAAGTGCCATGCAGATTTAAATTTTTCCCACTTGTGACGAATGCAGCTATCAATTTTTTTTGCATGCTAGCATGCTAGTTAACATTCATGTCAGTCAGCTGTTGGCTCTCATACTGGCCAATAGAATCTTCCTGCCTATTCGTGGCAGCCAGCTATAGGCTCTCACTCTGGCCAGTACAAAATGGCCACAAACTACATGAAAACTGTCATAGAAGCATGAAAAAATCGATTATTTCCACTATCAACAGGAGTTGGGAAATGCAAAGTTGGTCTTGGCCTTTCCGCTAACTTGGAGTATGTGCATGTAAATTTTGGTGCAAATCCATTGAAAATTGCGGCTGTGCATTCGTTACACACACACACACACACACACATACACACACACACACACACACACACATCCTGCCTTTTATAGATAGAGATTACCAGCAATACATTTTATAGTATAATTACCAACAATACATTCTATAGCAAAATTGCCAACAATACATTTTATTTGTAGTTGATGGCATATAATTGCATTCAAAAAATATTGACTTGAAGGCATACAATCATGTTCAAAATATATTTAGTTGAGGCCATAAAATTGTGTTCAAGATATTTAGATTTTGACAACCCATAGCGGTTGAAAATCAACTAACTAACCAACTAATCTACTCCTACCTTCGTATCACACACTACATTCAGTAATTCTCTAACTTGAATAGCTCTCAAGACTTGTACTGAAGTTAGTGACCAAAACGTCCTTATAGTATTTTGACAGTCGTATCACTAAAGAAGGACAGAAAATCATCAGTGTAAGAAAATAAATTATTTTATTGCATTAATGCCATGGCAATGTTTAATCTACATACCCACAAAAAATGGTGTCAAAAGGGACGCTTTTCTCTTGCCCTCACCATTACTGTATATTCCCTTGACTCCCTCAACAATGTTTATTGTTTTAAAATGCTTTAGAATTTTAATAACAAGAAAAATATTGCACACCATTTAGTTGTTAGACTGTTTATTTATAAGATTATAAAAATAAGAGAATATTTGAATTGAATGGCAATTAGCCAATGTTTTGTTAACCATTCCAAAGAACACAATTTGCCAGCTTTTCCAATCACTTTGGTCAAGGTCCTTACTGTCCATTATTCATTTAAGATTTCTTTATCTGTCATCACTTGGCGGAAAATAGATAATCTATCTATAGATTTTCTAGGCTTGCTTCAAGCAATTTTTAAAAAAATTGGCAACAATTTAAAAAATTATTTTGAAAAGAATAAGCAGACAGTTAAGCTATAATTGCTGGATTTTTATCATAAAATGTATCATAAAATCTTAATTTTAAACATTTCTTCTGGAATAAGAGTAGTCACCATCTCAAAATTCTCTTAACAAAGAACTTGCCTCAAATAGATGAGGAGACAGAGAAATTGATATATATTATAAAAGCTATTATGAAAAAGAAATATAAATGTTAGACTTTTAAATATTAAACTTGCCAAGAAAATAAAAGATAAATAAACAATTCAATTCAAACAATGAACTTCAAAAAGAGTTTCAAATTCAATCAACCTGATACAAATCGATGTAATGACTTTGTAGATTACTGAGACTGTTTTCCACAGCTTGGAAAATATGTTTACGGCTCAATCCCCAACAGTTAGGGAACTTTGGTTCAAGTACAGTTTTTGAGAATCGACATTTGGTTGCAATCACAAACTGTTCACGATCTCTTCTGCAAAAAAAAGAAAAACATCTAAAAATTGCCAAAAAATATTAAACTAACTTTATACATTTTTGTACAATATTATCAGTAGATGTGAATACTAAATTAAAATCAGTTACTTTCATTGTTAGGATTTTCCTGGACTCCAAAGGCAGAACTATTTCCTAAGGAGGATCACCTGGTCTCTGACTTATCCTGAAATTCTACTTGGGGTTATTTTCTGTTTATGATATTTGCTGTAAAACAGTGAAAAATTGATATAAAATGAATATTAAAATTTTTGAGTAAAATTTTGATGAGTTTCTTAGAATTCCTAATAAATAAAAGAAATGATCTTCTAAACAATATCCATACTTATTTGCATTAAAATGCAGAACAATAGTAAATATAATAGAGAAATGATAACAAACTGCATGTGTCTTTTTATCAAAAATTCAAGTTTTAAGTCCTTATCTCTCACTAATTTTCCTTGTGAAAATGTGTTGTGGGGCCGATAAGGATGAAGAAAGGTGTGAACAGCTAAGACAATGAGGTGACAAAGGTTTAAGAAACAATAACGTTGATTTTATTAATCCAAAATGTACAAGAGTGTACCCTGAAGAAATATGTTTGTATTGATGTCGGGTCTGGTATGTGTGTTTTTTTTTTTTGCAAGGGTAGTTGATCTTTGTTGTGTCAGCGAAATGAATGTAGAGTTGGTCAGCGGCGATAGCATCAAATGTTTCATGCCATCTACACACACCAAGACCCTTGTTAAAAATAGACTATTTCTTTTCATTAAGTCAGACTGACCACATGACCAGAAGTGGTTGCTGTTCCTTATTTCATATTATTCTCTTATTTTAATATTCATACATCTTTTTTGTATACTAGCATTTTTCCTTTTTATTTATTGATAATTTTTGTTTGTTTGCCTGTTTTGTTGCAAGCCTCTCACTGCTCTATCGTTATTTACCATGGAAACTGCTCAGACTACATTCCTTAATTCTATCAGTTCTAATCGTCATGGCTAAGACCTGCCATGCTATGCACATTGTAATAAACCACCCTCATTCACAAGTTTTAGAAATTCTTCTTTTTTCTTAATACCTAATTTTTTAAATTAATATTTACTAGTTTTAACCTGTGAAAATTTAACAGTTTTCTTATTTTAATATTTTGATGAATCTTAATTCTTAAGTTAATGATTGAATAAGTTCATGGCAAGTTTTATAACAATAAAAATATCCATAGAAATTCCCCTATCACATCATTAAATATTTAACTTAATAACAAAATATTGCAATAATAATCATAAATATGAATGTTAGTCATTATTTTAAGAAGTGGGTACAAATGAAAAGATTTGAAATTGACAACACTTTTCATTTTGCTGAAACAACCATTAAACACTTGCTTTTTTTTCCTTTCATTTTCTCACTGAAACCAAGAAGTGTTTTTTCCCCTCTTTCAATGTGATAAAAACTAAATAGTCCATTATTTATGTAGTATTAACAGGGTGTCATAGTCATGTAAACTAACAAAGGGAGGGACAAAAATAAATTATAATAGGATTATTCTAGCTGCTGAATTCCTAGAGACCAAATTTGATCATTTTTTGTTTAATTTTTTTTTTCTTAGCAGACACAAAAAAGTTAGTGTCATCCATTTTTTCTTTCATTTCCACAATAAATTGTTTTAAAATGGTACTAGTCATTGTAGAAAATGAAATAAGAAGCTATGGTAGTTCCACTTATCAAGCAATTTTAGGCAGTAGAATAGCTAGAGTGCAACATTTTTATGTGGGTGGCACTTTTGGGTCTGCTGTATAAGCCTGTATAGTCTGTATTGATATAAAAGCATTTTTGATGTCTGGACACTACTCACAGTTGAAGACCCTTTTTGATTTTGAGTAACTTAAACTATGGCTTATATATTTAAGTTATTATCATCTTGGCTGAATAATAAACATTATCTAGTGATTTATTCAGGGTTTTTTTTTCATCATTGTTAACAGTATGAAACCTGTGAATGAACTGATGGTTTATTTATTAATGCCACAGTACTACTGTGTGTGGGAGACACATCTTGCTTATTATAATATAAATTTCAGTTATATTCCTTGATAGAAGTTTGTTTAAGGGTATGTGTTTGTTTTATCTTTCATCATTTTGGCTTGTTAATAGATAAGATGGAATCAATGTGCAATATGTTGTATTTTTTTTAAGTGAGAGGCAGAAAGCAGAAGAGCTGCAACAACCTACATACCCTGTAGATTAAATAATGGGTTCAGTTCAAAATTCCCTAAAAGTTATTCAGACAAACAAAAACTTGATAAAAGCCAGAGAATACAATGTCCAAAACATAATAATGACAAAGATGGGGGACAATAGTCAAAATGTAAATAATATAAAGAAACTTACTTTGATAACCAAGTACCAATGATTTTCTCAGAATTTCCATTGCCATAAACATTGGCAGTATCAAAGAAATTTCCTCCATGCTCAACAAATATATCCATGATTTCATGTGAGAGTTTCTCATCTGATTGGCCAGGCAAAGCAAATTGGCTCTGAAAAAAAGTGAAAAAACAAAAATACTGAAAATTTGAAAGAAAAAGCAGGATAAAAATAATTTATGAATGAATCAATATTGGTTGAGGGAAGGGTGCAAAGCCAACTTGAGCACTCAGAATTCAAACCAATTGCAACCTTGTAGCTCTTCTACTTTAACCTCTGAGAGGAGGGACAGAATAACATCAACATCCCCAGTGCAAAAGGAACCAGCAAGCCATTGTACAATTCTGCCGTGAGTATCACCATGAACCACAATTGTGAGATGGCAAGGGGGTGATGACCACAGTGGTGAAAAATGTGCTAACTGAATAAATGATGATGATATATAATTTCAGCCAGATGCAAAAATGCACATAGGAAGATTGTTATATGTCTAGGTGAAAAGAGCTTTCTCTAGACTTTTACCTTGGCTCAAACTACAACTTTTATCCCCAATGGCAAATATGCAACTATCTCAAACACAAGACTCATTCACCAAAGATGATTACTACTGCTTAATTCAAATATCTTTATGTAAGCATGAACATTTTATTCTAACTCCAAAAAATTGAGTATATATCTACAAGGGCATGCTGAAAAGTTCTCAGCCTGTTCCACTTCCTAAAATCTGACCAATAAGAAAGCATCAGAATGTATTTTGAAATCCCTTCTTGGACATACAGCTGTCCATTTTATATACCTGTTTGAATTTTGAGGCTGAATCTTTGTGCAGTGTTTTTAGAACTAGTAGTCTCATTGAACAGGGAATTCATACCAGATTTTGTTCTTCAGGAATTTATTGAGAAACAGAATTTAATAAAATTCACAGAGCTTCTGGAATTGTTTTATTTGTCAGAACTATTCTTCTCTTAAGTTCAATGATCTAATATTATCTTTTGTCCATAAATAAAATGGGTCAGTATTTTAATCTTTGTTGTTTTGCTGACTATGCTTCAGCCAATATGTTCTTATAGTGTAACCGTTATTGACACAGTGTAATTGGTGAGCTGAGTTCAAGTTCTGGCCTAGTCTGTTGTTTACTTTTGCCCTATTACCCTTGAGAAAGGCATGAATCCATTTCCCCATCTATGAATTAAATAGCAGGATAGACTGGACTCTATAGCTTCAGGTGGCAGCTAGTCTAAGTGAAAGAACTTTATAACCATGGAAAAGGCAACAGGATACCACTCCGCTATCTTTTCCAAGTAATCATAACAGTTTTGCATTAATACTTTTAGGAAAGGCATGAATCATTTTTCTCCTCATCTATAGATTAAATAGCATGGTAGACTGGACTCTCTAGCCTCAGGTGGCAGCTAGTCTACATGAAAGAACTTTAAGACCATGGAAAAGGAAACAGGAAATTACTCTATTATCTTTCCCAAGAAATCATAACAATTTCCAGACAAGAAAGAAATGAAATCTGTGGAGAGCCATGACCACATACATTTTATAGGTACATGGCAAATTAAAAAAGAATCTTCTGGTTTTTACACTGTTGTTGAAAATTCTGAGATACAACATTATGGTTATTCCATCAATCATTCAGGCTACGATCTGCATCTTTCTTAGTTATTGTTCTCTATGGACAAATCTAATCTTATTTATTCAGAATTAGTCTAAAATTAATTTTCATCTTATTTTTATAATTATAATGTTCCCAAACAAGTTGAAGGTGTCACAAGTTTTAAATATGGAAACTTTTAAATGATGAAAAAAAAATGGCTTAAAAATTCTTGTAATTTTACTGCCAAAACTACTGTCATCATCATCTCATGACTGGGTGTGGTCATAGCGTCACTGAACACCTGACCAGCTTCCTCAATAGAACTTGATCCTGTGCCAATGTCTGAGTCTCTGTGAAAGATCTTCCAGTTTACTTCAGAGATATCAGCCCATTTTTTCCTCTATCTGCCTTTTCTTCTTTTGTCAAAGGTGGTACTTTGTCGGATGGCATTAGAAAGATTGTTGGCTTTTATGACATGTTTCTACCATTTCAACTTTGTCTTCTTGATAATGGCTATGAGATCTTCCAGTGGACTTGTTTCTTGTTTGATAGTGTCTCACACCAAAATGATGCCGTGAAAGATAACATGAACTCAAATATTCAGGACATCCATTCTTGACACAAAGCAATGATTAATAGGTGAGTTCCATAGACCATTGCTATTGAGTTCAGCCTTCACAATGTGCTCCACTGTTGTGGTCTTGTGCCAGATTATGTTAAACTTAATAAATATATCTACTCATCAACAAGCTCAAATTCTCCATTAAAAGAATTTAGATTAATTGTCAGTTTATTTTTTGATACGTCTGAATATCATTGTCTTTTGAAATTGTTTGTAAATCTTATGGATCCATAACAAATGTTTAAAAGGTAAGTTCATCAGATTTTATTTTCTTCCTATACCTAGTGTATTACCATTCAGTTTCAGAGGATGTCAGACATTTAAAATATGTTAAGGTGACAAAGTTATTAGAAAAGATGGGTTAAGCCTTTGAGTGGATATCTCTAAGGAGTAACTCTCTCACACATTTTACTCTTTGCTGTTCAACTAACATTAATCATATCTGATGATTTTATGCTGTTATGGAAGATAACTAGAATTATTCATTTCAATTTGGGTTTTCATTGATTTGTTTTTACAATTTTTTTTTTCAATGTTTTGCAGTTTATTTAAAGCCAGAAAATATTTTTAGATTGCAAAAAAGTTTTGGAGATAATAATGTTTTTTTTTCTGAACAAGTTCTTCTGTTTAACTCATAGTTAGTGAAAGAAGTGATGAATTCATATCTTTTCTAAGGGTATTTGTGTGTAAGTAAATATAACAAACCTGACTGGAATTCATTAAATGTCATTAGTCTGAATATAAATAATTTAACTCAGTTCTCAATTACTACTGCTGTATTTAATTTTACTATTTTTATTTTTATATTAATCAAATACACTTTCTTAAATAAATCTAATGAGATTACTTGTTTGATAAAAGCAAGCATATACAAGAAGTTATTTGCACGTATACATAAAATATGACCTGGGTTATCTCAAAATAAAAAAAATCAACTCTTTTTAAAATCAAAATCAACTTAATCTACAATTTGGCCTCATTATCAGATGATTTGATAAAGGTTTTAACACTGGCATGCCACAATGGTTGACAGTGAACATGACTCAATAAAAATTAGTAATTCTTGTTGCAAAGATCATATAAGTCTGTATTATCTGTCCTAGATGCTAAATGTAATGATACAGAGGTGCAGACTAATGACCAACACAACACTTAATCTCTCATATTTAACTTTACATTTTATTCAACTCCAAATTTTGAAGTTTAATCATTCTTGACCAATGTGTATGAGTGGCCACAAGACCCTCTTTCAAAACATGGACCTTACAATCTCATCTGCATGTTAATAATTTGAAATTTCAAAGTTAGAATTAGCATTCATTTGCTTAGAAAGAATATCAATGTGATCTGATAATAGGTACAATAGATTTACCAAACATCTAAACCTGATGAGCCATTGAATTTGAAACTCTTAAGTTGGCAAAAAACAGATAAGTGACTTCAACTTTTTTTAACTTATTGAATAATATATACATATATATATATATGTAAAATGTGTATAAATATATATATTCAATTTTATATATATATATATATATATATATATATATATATATATATATATATATTTATAAAAAATATTTATTATATATGTGCAGTACTTATTGGAAAGTGCTCAATATCAGTGATAGAGCTAACAAATTTAGTTGGATTGATGTGAGTTTGTGACCCTGGGTTTCATGCTATTTGCAATTGTCAGAAAAACTGATTAATTTTTAAATTTTGGATTTATATATGGTTGCGTATATCAGTGTTTTTATGGCAGTGGGAAGAAAAATTATTGTTAAAATGCCACTCATACGTACGCAAACATACATACACACATGTTCACTCATTGACATACGCAGACCTACATACACGCACGCTCACTCATTGGATCTCATACAAAGAAACATATATGAACAATGTGCATCCATGTGTCGTTGCATACATATGTATGCAATTGGTTGGTATATTCAAAGTTTGATTGTGTAGCGAACATTTTTCATCAGTTGTGGTATCAATGCGCAGATTGTTCATCTATGTTGTTCGCCGAATAATGTTTTCTTGCACACATGTATATATATATGTACACGCGTTCACACATCTTCTATCCATCTGTTTGCTTTCTTTTTTTTATGATGTGGTCTGTGTAAGACTATGGTAGGTAAAATTGCTATTATTTTTAATTTTTTAATGCTGTTTTGTTATTTTAAAGCCAGTTATTTGCTGGTTTTTGGCAATTGTGCATATCTAACTGGTAGGAACTTCAATTTATAATACTTATTAGTATTTATGCGGTGGTATTAATTTTGCTGGTGGGGAAGTAAGTATAATTGGGGACTGATATGGTAATGGTAATGGTAATTGTGGTGTGGTAATTATTGTGGACTAATGTGGCAATGGTAATTGTGATGCAGTGGTAATGGTTGGTATTTTTAAAATTTTTTTTATTCATATATATATATATATATATATTATATATGGTGGTAGTGTGTTCATTTTTATTAACAACTATTGTATCAAATATGAGTTACTTTCGAAAAGAGGTTAAGTTTAGATAAGGGTAGGGGGTGCATTTTTCAACAAATTATGACATCCGTTTTTATCAACAACAAAAAGTTCTTTAGGCATTTTTATCTGTTAAATTTGTACTTGCATACTTAAAGATTCTTTCTAAAAGGGTGTTTGGATTAGAATACGTTGTATTGAACTACAATTTTACAATATTATTTTTACTTTTAATTACTAATAGACTATATTTCACTTTAAAACAAATAAATGTAATAGAATTCCTTAAGTTATTTAAAAATTATTATTAAATATCAAATATGAGTATGTATATTACAGCTCTTTTTTTAAAAAATGTTATTTGAGGAAAATCTTTGACAATGTCGGCAAAGAATAGC